GAGCAGATGCCTGCAGAGGGACGAGCTGCTCACAGAGCCACTCCTGCTGCAGAGACTCTCGGTTTCATGTCCTCTTGGCTAAGCCAGTGGCCTCTTCCACTTCCAGCTCTGGATGGAGTTTACAAGAAACKCTGGAAGTCCCAGCCCTGTGGTGTGTCATCATTCAAACTTCTCTTTAATAGCGTCCCAAAGTAATTTATTTTTCCCAAACATCAAAGCCCCCCGAGCAATACTGGGAGAGGCAGGACTGACCCCAARCCCTGGTGGCTCCTGCACCCCTCTGCCCTCCTTGCAGGGGCTGTGCTGGGGAGAGTGATGGTTTCAGGTGGGATTGTGGGGCTGGGGGAGGCAGAGCTGTGACACTGCAGGCTGGGTGAGAAGGCAGATCTTCCCCCTGAATATACAAGTGAGGTGTACAGATTGCCCTGATACGAGGACGCTGATGCCTTTTCCAGGCTCAGCGTCACACCACAGAGCACTTTCAGGAGCTTTTATCCTTTATCAAGGATAAAAGAATAATGAGGAGAAAGAAATAGCGAAGAGATGTGAGCCTGCATTTCCTTCTCTTATGCCAGGATTCAGAGCCACCCTCCACCCTCTGGCATGCCAGGAGTACTGGGGATGCAGGCAGAGCATCTCCTCAGCTGCACCTCTGTGCTCTGGGTGTCCCCCCGTTCCCCAGCACGGCTCTCCTCCACAGCTGCATGAGTTTTGGAGAGGGAATTTAACAGAAAAATTGCAGCAGCTCYCGCCTCTACAAACACAGCGTGCTGCTGTCCCTGCCAGCACTCCATGCTGGTTTGCCTCAAGGAATCTGTGAGATCCGTCCTGCTGTGATCTGTAACAATATTGGGATTAAATTAGCTTCCCTGAGCTGCAGAGAGGTCAGTGTGTAAGGCCCCTGGTTAATCCAGCAGGCCAGAGAGAACAGAAGCCTCCCTGCATTGGGAAAGGAAAACAACGGGGTCTGTTTGCAATCCGTGGAGCTAATTCAAACAGCATTCCTCAAACAACAGGGGAAAAGGGCCTTCGGAGCAAATGGGAAAAGAGCGTTTCCCAACATGCACATAATGKTGCTCCTTGGGGAGAGGGGAAATGTCCAGACTGCACGGACGAGGTGCCAGAAAACCTGGCAGGGACAAGAAAGGAGCCTGAATAGCCAGGCAGCTTGGGGGGCACACAGGAGCTACCCTCTGTCCTGGGCATGGCAGGCCTGTCCTGAACAGATCAGGGGAGCAGGGGTGGTGCCTGCACATCTCTGGGGCACGATGGGACAGCTCATCCCACCTCTGGAGAGACAGGCTCTTGCTCTAAGAGTTTTACACTGAAGCAATTCTTGTGGCTCTGCAGCTCAGCTCTCAGCACCCATCCGAGATGATGATGAGGGACAATCCCAGAAGGAGGTGCTTCCCGCACAGGCTGCTGCCAGGAGCCAGCTCTGCCACCTCTGAGCGCAGCCCCCGAGCAGCTCTGAGTGCATGGAAGCCCAGGCTTGCTGGGGAAGCAGAGGCATGCCCAGTGATGCTATCAGGAATAGCTCCACATCCTGTGGCTCTCCCATCTCCCACAGAAGGTGTGATCCCGGTGCCTGACCCCAGTGCAGCCCCTGCCAGCAGTGCAGTCGTTGTCTTGCAGGCAGAGCAAATGTGGCTGCAGTGAGCAGGCACTGGCAGAATTGTGCTCCCTGGGCTTGAGCTGCAGATTTTCAGCTGTTATTGTAAACAATTGCCTGGGCTGTCACCGTTCCTGCAGCAGAGAACCCTCAGAGCAGCAGACCAGAGAACACCTCATGGCAAAGCTGGGAACGTCACAGACACTTCAGGACATACTCGCTTTCCTTCTGCTTTCTCTGCGAGTGTCTTTTCTGCTTTTTGCTTATGCTGAGATATTATCAAAGGCTGATGAGGCACCAGGGATGAGTAATGCACCCTCTGTGCCAGCTGGGAATTTGTGCCCAGGCACTGGTAGGGTTAATGTGGGTCTGAAARAAGCTGTGGTGCTCAGTGCTGGATCTGCTGGGTGCAGAGCTGGGCACAGCTGAAATTCCTCTGTCCTCAGCTGCACTGGGGGCTGAGGGACACTGGGCAGGGTCAGCCTTCCCCCAGGTGACAGAGACAGAGGGTTTTGCAAGGCAGGAACTACAGAGGGATGAAACTGGACCAAAATATGGCAGGCTTTAATGTAGAGGAGAATCATAAAGAGTGGGTTGGGGGATGTGACAAATGGGTGCTTCCTTTGTGCATATCCACTGTGCCCATGGCCCAGCCAGAGGAGAACCTGCTGGGAGTGTTAAGGAACCCTCCACTCAGAGCTCTGCTTTCAATCTGGGGCCATTAGGCACCTTACCCTGCTAAAATGGGGAATTTCATGTCCTTTTGTACCGGAGAGAAACAACCTGTTTGGGATTAATTTAGGACTAGTCTCAGGAGCTATTAGCTAAAGAAAACCAAACCTGTAAAGGASCCTCTGTCAGAGGGGAAAGAATTGTAGGGCTTGATGCTGGATTTATTGTGCAGGGCGTTAAGGAAGGATTTAGTGTGATTTAGCACCCTCTGCAATGACACCTCTGGCACCAGGGAGCTGTGAGTACAGCCCCTGCCTTCAGCCAGACCTGCTGCTCTGTTGGCTGATTGCTGCTGCTGCATCTGGGTCTGTCAGCACTGCCAGCACAGAGCCACCACTTCGGGGTTTATTGCTTACTTGGAAACATTTGCTCCTGACTGAAACTTGATCTACAGCTGTCAACTGAGGCTGCAGCWCACCAATATCAGAAAGGAGATTTGGCTGTTCAACGTGCATGAAATATAAATCTTGGGTTCATCAGATTTTTAACTTGTACAATCAATGGGGTGATGTTGTCCCTGACAACATTTGATGGTAGTGGAGAATTTCCTAGAATAGAAAGTAAAAAAGCWCTAAATATAAATAGAAAAAGGTCTTCAATATGGGGACTTGCAGCAGTGGCTGCTCAGCATCTGCCAACAAGTAAACACATTCACAATGCTGCTGTGAGATAGCAGGGATCTCAGTGACATCATTTACAAATAGGAAATGAGGGATATTTAACGAGGTGCCAAGGAAAATCCAGGATGAATAAAACTGCCATGTCCATGAGCATTAACACACTGACAGCACAAAGGAAAAGSTGCAGAAAAGGGTGAGTTTTCCCTCTTGCCTGGGTTGTTTGGGTTATTTTGCACAGATGCCCYCACACAAGTGCTGTGTACAGAGAAGATGGCAGGTGTGTGAGGAATTCATGAGGATCTCCAAATCTGGGTGTCTGGGGGTGCTGCTTGATGCCATTCTCTGTATCCACACCCTTGCCCTCCTCTTCCTTAGTGCTGTTGTGTCCATTCTGAGTGCCCCTGAGCACTCCAGGTCTCATGCCAGCAGCTGCCAGGGGTGCTCAGAGACCGATCTTCAGTGGCAGCTTGTGGGCAGCAGAGTGTGGAACGGGAAGTGCCCTGAACCCTGCAGGGGAGCCAGGAGGGACTCAAGAGCCACCTTAGGGCTGGTCACATCCTTGGAAGAGCGTGTGCCATATGGCTTCCAGCTCAGAGCCCTGGGAGCTTGRGGAGTCTGCCCCAAGAGATTGCAGGGTCTATGGGCACCTGTGCCAAGGGGCTGGCTGGCACCTTGTCACACACCCTGGGACAACTCACCAGGGCACCAGGGGTCTCAGCAGAGACCCATGGCCTTGAGCATCACATCAGCCCTGTGACAACTGGGGATGAGGGTCAGTCATGGCTGGGCAGCTGCTGCTGCCAGCTGTGTGGCACTGCTG